CACGACAGTCCCAAAACAGAGAGGACAGTTCCACCTGCACAAGAGAGAAATGCTGCAAACGCTCCCTGCGAGGTCACACGTCCGGACTCTCCGTCGCACTTGCCACCCGTTGTGCCTCGCATGTTCATGATGGGCTTTGGTGCAACAGAACCAGTAGCTGTACGTGTTACTAAAAACATGGCGTGCACTTGTGTCGGAAGCGTTACAAAACTTCCACCATGAGTACTACAGAGCACGCGCTCGGAGCCTCCAAAGGCCGCGCCATAAAAAAAGGCTCAGCAGGTATCAGCTCCGATTTGGCTCACTGCACCAACAATTGACCAGAGAGCACCACTGAGTGGGAGGAGTGGGCAAAGAGCCTCTGGAAAACATCCATAGAACCAGAACTTCGTTGGTTTTACCTCAGAAGCAGAATAAAGAGCTATGCTCTTCCAGAGGATACCAGATTGGTGACGGTCTGCATCAAGGAAGACAACTTCTCGCCACAGCTTTCACTTTACACAGAAGGATGGGATTTGGCCTCAAAATTGTCTTAGACATCACCTGGAGCAGATTGCCAGCAGACCAAGCAGTAAAACACAAGCTGAGCTCTTTAAGCTGTCACACTGCCCTTTTTTTAGAAAGAAAGGCCAAAGAGAACTCCTGTTGCCTTGCTGTAAGGTGCCTCTAGCAGAAGCATAATTTTGATTAACGAAGCTGAGCAAAGCAAGGGTAACTATAGTTTCTGGAGGCAAAACAACCAAAAAAACCCCACCCCAAACTATGAATGCACAGGTTTATTACTGCCGGCTCGGATTCAGGCTGTGATTCTACGTAGGTATCTCGGGGCACTGCGCTAAGCCCTACAGCCGTGATCTTAATCGATGCCCCGCTCTGGTTCAACGTGAGGTGCCACAGAAGACAACACAGCTGGGACAAAGGGAAAAAAAAAGGCAAGCCTACTGCGAAGTGGGAGCCCACACATGGGGATTCCTCCCCCCCTTTTTCGGGTTTGGAGAGCGGGGTTTGTTGGGTTTGGGGGTTTGCTTGTTTTACTGAAACCTCTGTGTGTGTGTGTGTGCGTAGGCCCACCGAGAGGCGCGTGCACGTATCCGTGAGTGCACAGCCCACCAAGAGGCACACGCAGAAATACGTGTATTTCCGTTTGCACACGTGATGTAGAAATGAGAGCGCTCCCTTACCTTGGGCTCTTTTAAGTAACAGTGCATGGCCTGAGTCACGTCAGCAGCATGAACTGCGTTATGGTAAGGGTTCTGACTGTGGTAATCTTCTTGAACCATAACTGCGGAGGAAAGTAACAAATACCCACATTTAAATACAGCAATTTTTGTATGTCCTTGTTAGGCACAGAACTACGCAGTAGCACACGTAACACACACATAAAAGCATCGAAGTCAGTAAATCATCAGTTGAATCAAGACCCCGGTATAAAAGATTTTTTTATGTGAAGAAACGATATTTTCTAAAGGAAATCAATTACATGTAAAGTCAGCTCAGAGCAAAAATTAAACCTGAAAGCAATATGCGAACTGGGATACTTGACAACTTTCTAGGAAAGGCTCCCTTTGGCAATCCACCCTGTCTGAATGCTGAGGCAGCCTAGGACGCAAGAGGAAGGTGATACTATTACCAAAGCATCGGGATGACTTCATACCAGGCCTTGAAAACAGACAGGATCTGAGGAATTAGGCACTGCTTTCCTTTCCCCTTCAGGAGAGTGGTCATGGGAAGCCACCTCTACATAGTTTAGGCATCTTCTCACACTTGTACGCAGGGAAATTTAAGCCTATATGCAATTTTGAGAAGAACCTCATTTAGATGATGGCCCGACAAATACTCCTAGATGAAATATTCCCTGTTCAACATCCTCCTTGCTTTTGTCCTCTTTCCTCCAGCTTCCTGGCGGTCTTTAAACATTACAGGTAGAATACTTCAAAGGACATCCACATTAGCTCAAGTATGGAAAAGAACTATGGAAAGGATGGAGGGGAGAAGATCCAAAGCAGAGTACTCAAACTGTATCCTAAAGTTCTGCCTGATACGACATACCGGCTCTTTCAAGCAAACCTCAAAACAACGTTTTCCTGGCTAACAGGCTGCCAGTCCCATTCGGACGGACTTGCCCGCCACCTCTCTTCCCACCCAGTTTACAAGCCAGTGCCCTCCGTGTAGTTCTGACTGCAATGTCACGGCATTGCTGTCGTGGTGTTTGTGAAGACCTGCGGCTCACGAGAACTCAAAATACTGTAACCGGCAAGTAATCCCAGAAGTACTTAACACATAGATGGAAAATAACAAAAATAAGCACCTTTGGGCTCTATTAATCTGCACTTGAACTCCCTTCCACCTATTCCTCACATCCACTGTATGAATAAGGATGTCCTTGGCTTACCCAGGATATTTTTTTTTTGTGGCCTCATAGGCTGCTCCAGCTACCTGAAGTTTACTTAGCCTGAAGTTTTATTTATTTATTTTAATAAAGCAAATTTTAATAAAGCAGACCTAGGCCAATATTTTGATCATAGTTTGCCAGAACCAGAATGGCACAAACACCTTATGTTTCCAGGCACATAGTACTTTAGATTTTCCTTCTCCTGGTTCAGGTTTTGAATAAGAACTTGAAAGCACAGTTGGAGAAGACAGACCTCCAGGTAACCTCTGGAAATCACAGAAAGATTGTGTATGTGTATAAACAAAAATGTATACACACACACACGGTACATGGGTGATATTATACACACACAAATAAGTGTTGAGATCCTAATGAGGACTAAAGTCAGATTTGTCTCCTGAAAAAGATTTAAAAAGATTCCAGTAAGTTCTCAAAGAAAGTGAATTTTGTGTGGCACTGTGGATCACTCCCGCTGCCCTAAGTCTTCTGGCATGTGATCTTCAGATTGCACTGGACTAGGGTGTAGGAGGTAGCAAGAGAAAAGAATGAGTTGTGTTCACGTGAAGCAGCTGTTTGGAAGAAAGGTTCTTGATTGGGCAGATGGGCTAGGACAGATCTGAGAAACACTTTTCTTCCTGCTACTAAGTAGAAGGAAAGGGAAAATTGGTGACTTTCAAAGCTAGAATGAAATTTTGCCTTGTTCCAAGTCTAATCTCATTTCAGTGACGCAGGGCTTTGAGTGGTCCCGTGTTGTTAACGGCTATCGTTGTCTTCCGATTACCATTTAAGTGGTCCAGTCCTTCCTAACTGCTCTTTCATTTCAAGTACTGTCCTTTGCTAAAATCTCAACCAACCAGGAAACAAGGAAGATGAGAAAGATGGAACACACTCATTTACGACTCGAGCAGCCCGAGACCAGAGTGCTATGATAATTTTCTTCACATTCCAATATATTCAGTCCTCAAGGTCAGCTGATCTTTTTTCAAAACTAGAAGGAATTGAGTCCCCTTTAAAACAACATGAAATGCAAGACAGAACTAAATTTTTCAGAAGCTGGAAGAGAACTAAATAATAAACACAAAAACATTCCCTTATTTGAAAGGGGAGAAAAGCCTTCCAAGTGTGATTTCTCCTCTCTTAAACGAGAAGCTTGGTAACCACAAAATTGTTTGCTTTAAAACTGGTGAAGCCTGCTAAAAGGCACAAGAATCTTGTTTCTCCTGCTTAGTTAAAAAACATCCCACTTCACAAAATTAAACAAAAGGTACTGTCACAAAAGAACCAAAGGAAGGAAGTGTCACATCAGTGCCTGTCTGCGGATCGGGGATGCAGGAAGGCAGCTCTTTCGGCTGACAAGTGAAAGCACCGCGTAGCCTGGATGTTCCACAGCGTATTTATTTCTGCTGAAGGGTTCCACCGCCACAGGCCCCAACACCGGAGTAAGACCGCCCTGCGCTCTGTGGAGCACGTATGCCCACGCTGCACAGTGTTTACTCGCAGGAGACTTGGAGCCAGAGACTGCATCAACCTGGCACCATTAAGTACGGCCAAGCTGGCACGTTCCATACAGTTAAAAAAAACACGTCATGAACTTCGGAAAGTAAGAGAGAACTGAAAAATGAAACAAAGAAAGGAGCTGTCTAGCCTTTCCCAATACAAATGTCACATATATTTCTGGATGGTTTAGATTTAATAAATACAATACAGCATCTGCTACAAAACTAGTGAATGTGGCAATACTTGCCTGGCTCCAACATGGAGATTTCTATATTGTACAGACTGTCGATACACTCTACAATATATTGTATATTTACTGTATTGTAAAGGTTGTCTCAATCAATACAGTTTAAATCACTGCACAATCTGGACTGCATCAGTACCCTTCAAACCTTATTGCTAAAACTCTAACCAGGACTTCAGTTAAGGTATAACAATGCGGATAAACAGCAATATTCATCATAATAAAAAGCTGTATTTACCCAAAAATCTACGAAGTTTCATCGTATCTAACTGGAAGTGTTCAATTAGTCCATGAAGATTAAACAGATGAAAGGTTAAGCTGACTAGACTGTTTCCTAAAAATAAGATGAAAATACTAATTCATTGGAAGCCATGAAATCAGTGACTCTTTCATAAGAAATGTATTATTTCAAACAAATTGGTCACAAAAAATTACACAAGCAAATTTCTCTACACCAATCTATGATAAATATTACTGCATGACAAGACCCCGTTAGCTATCTCCTCTAGTAATCACCAGTGCTTTTGCATAATTATAACACACTCACCAATTTTTCCACTGTCAACTGGTAAGAGGAGAACATTACTGAGCATTAAGAGAAGCAGCAGGTTTGAACGTGCAAACCTGCTACAACGATATTCAATTTTGTGGTAGGTTGCATCATGATTTTCATACACAGACATGCAGTTTAAACCCGAATACAAAATTAACCAGGCAAAGGAGAAAGCTAACCAGCACTATCACAGTTAGTGTACACTGTACATATGCTTGCTCTCATTCCCCTCATGTGTTCTGCTAAACTTACTTCTTGTTTCACCAAGAAGTAGCAAGTTTCTCTAGGGAATGTATACTATTACAAGCTTACAATGTACTTCGCCTACTCAGAGCTGTAATATTACAATCACTCGCAGTGGTAAAACATGTAAAACTGAGACAAGTGGTTTGCAAATGTGTACTTGAAACAGCTTGCTGATTTACTCTGCAAACGATACCTAGCGGCAGATAACTCAGTTCTGGTACATTGACCGTCTTCATTTAGCAGGAGCTGACCCAGCACAGACAGAAACTGAGGTACAAAAGGACAAAAGTTGTTAAATCTCCCTTGCTATTCGGCTTGAAGCACCTGGTTGTGCACACCACCTTGTTGCCACAAGACGCACAACTCTTCGAACAACATTTACTGAGTAGCTTGTTTCTTACAGGCCCGTGCAAGGCAGTTCATCAGGCAGAGTTTTATATACAGCATTCCCCCTTTACAAACTTTCAAGAACAAGACTGCCTGGTTCAAGTCCTCCTCAAATGACTGAATTAGGATGCAAAGAGGGATGTATACAAAGGCTTCCACAACAGAAGCTATACTGGTACTATAGAAAATGTATTTGCAAAAAGTGTATTTAAAAAGGTAGAGAAGGCCTCAAAAACAATTATTTCAAATTACTCCCATCTGATAACTAATCTGATGTAAGCTATGCTTACACACAGGTTCACTTCCACAGATAGGATTTTTCATTGTTACCTAGTCTCAAGTTTATCTACCTATATAAACATTCTGTTCGCAAAAATCCTCCCTGTTTTTATTTTTTTTTTAAATACCCTTTTCTATACTAAATCAAGCTGTGAGGATACTACTTTTACACTAGATTAAGCCACACATCCCTTCAACGAAACGGGAGAGAACAAAAAATTATCTTCTAGTGCCGTATTTTCCTTTCTAAACTTAACTTCTTTTTCTTTCTGCCAACTTTAAATATGGTAACTGCATCTCTGCTACCGATTCCCTTTGACTGATGTGAAACCTCCAAGAGCTGCCCTCCATCGTCACCGTGATGGACTCGCTCATCTCCTCCTTCTATTCCAGTCAAAATTCAGCTTCCACTGCTGTGTCTGTAATACAAAACTTCACCCTAGCCACTGCAGCAGCCTTCCCTCCTCCTTTCCAGAACATCCACAGATCTCTTTACCAACTGTCTGTCCATAACTTAAAAAAAAAATCAAATTAAATATTGCTTAAGTCAACTATTTCTGTGGTTCCTACCATTCCTGTAGTTCCCTAACCATCTGTAATGGGTGCGCTAAGCTAACCATAATATTCTCTTCCTTTCTGTATTTTGTGCAAGATGAGCTTCTATCTGCTCAGCTCCTAATTCTCTGGGTGTTCTATGTCCTGATTATAATGCATTCATACCAACGTGTCTTCTTAGTGTACTGTAACGTAACAGAACTGTTCCATCAACACTGAAGTTATCAGAAAATATTTGTTCAATATAAATGATCTTTTGGACACAACCATATAAATTACCAGCCTTCCGTAATTAAAAAAGACAAAGTTAGCAAAATTATTCATTAATTTCTATCAAAGTACTAGGTCAAATTACTAGAGAGAACAGCAACCTACACAGTACAAGGGCCTCCTCTACAATCAGTGATTATCATCAGTACTGACAGTAACAGTATTTTAACAGAGTGGCCAGGCAAACTAGGATTTAGATTAAAGACTGTTAAATCAAAAAGTAGCACCTTGATGAAATCTGTGCGTTTTAGCGAACAAGCAATCGCATACCACGGCCTAACACCAATAGTTATGCTGAGCGATAAAGCACAAATGAAACAGCCAAAGTAAACTCACCATTTGTCAGTCTATCAAAAAGAAAAATATCAAAATTCCAATTTCCAACCTTCTCCAGCATACACTGAAAGAGAACACAAAAGCTGTCACCTTTCTCAGTATACGCCTATCTTCCTGTAGCCCAGAGGAGCATTTCAGATTTCAGAGACTGATGCAAGTCTTAGGATTTCTATATATAAAACCAGTATTAAAATAATGAAATTTGTTAGATAACTGGAAAACTTTAAAAATACATGTTGCAAATCGAAAAACTGAAATACAAGAAGTGTCTTGACAGTACTGGCTTGAGATTTTTCCCTTCACTCTTCAGTCAATTTCTTAAAAGAAATAAAATTTAAAACAAGTATGTTAAAACCCAAAACATTATGACAGAATATCTCTGTTCTGACTTTTCCACTTTTAATTTCTGCACTGAACTTGTAGTTAAACCTCTGTGTAGTCCGTCACCTCGGTTTCTCTTTCCCCTGTTGTTCGTAGAAGAGAAATAGTATCTAGATGATTTACTAGACACATGAGCCAAGCTTTTAATTTCTTATTTAAGAACCTGGCTTTTGACTTCCCACCTCACTGAACTAGCACTTCCTCACAGCTGCTCCACGTGAACTGTTCTTCCAGCAGCTGGGATGAACCAGAGGAGCAAACTCAAGACCTCACCACAGTCCAGCACTCACATCCTCACTTCCCCTACTCCCATCGGAAACACCTGCCCAGCACGTTTTACAACAGTCACTTGCCTCCTCCTGCTCCCATTAGATTGGGAGAGCTGTTTTGTGATCCCATTACTACTAGGTTCTAGCTTTTCTTCACTGTAACTCAGCTACCAGGAGAAACAAACAGCATTAACAAGATCTTTCTGCTGTTTAACGAGCATTTCTTTAAATCCAGTCTCCAGGTTTTCAGGTTCTTCCTGCACGGACTACATGCCATATGGATACACCGCGTTACAAGCGTGCTCCTTGTTCATAACCTTGACACAGAAAAGAAGCTTTACACACGATCAGTGAGAAGACACACAAGGAAGGGGTCTTGAATAACCTGTAACCTTCTGAGAAGACACACAGGGGTCTTGAATAACCTGTAACCTTTGCCTGCTCCTTCCCCTTCAGCTCTATCCATCCCCTATCCCCAAGCTCACTAGCCCTTCATCCAGCTATTCTTTTAGTGCTGCCCCTCTTCCCAAAGGCTTTACTGCAGCGTGGCTGTATTACACCTACCACACTTTTCTGCAAGAATTACCTATCAAAGTCAGTTTGGCATAATAATCTTCTGATAAATCCATTTATGCATTTTATTGAGTTTTCAGTAGTAGTTAGTCACTCTTGGGCTGTTCAGTAATGAGCTTAGACTAAAAAGGAAAAGGCAGGGTGTGTAGTAGTTGTCCAAATTGCTCCACCACGTTTCTTAAATGCAGTTGCAGTTTTCTTCAGTTATTACAGTGCATCCTCCATAAACTGCAGTTATTAAAAAAATGCTAGCCATATGAGCTCTAAAAATCATCCCAGGAGGTTTGTTAGAAACCAGGTAATTCTGGCTGGACTTTATTAAGACATATATACATAAACACACATATGTATATGGAAAAATACATGCATAAAATCAGCATTTGGCTGCACTCTCTTAACATAAGATACAATTATACACTCGCAAACACTTTTAAAAACATACTTGAGGAAAAAAAGAAAAAAATCAAGCAACCAACCTTTGCTTGTCCATTATAATCATCATCTAAAATGTTTGAAGAATTCGGAACAGTGATACCACGGAAAAAACGGGAAGATCTCAGGTATCGCTGGAAACTAAGCAGCCTTCTCACATTTCTCGCAGATACAGACACCTCAATTTCAGAATTTGCTACAAAACAAGAAAATAAATACTCTAATAAGCCTTTACAAAAAAACAAGAACGCTCAGGAAAGTTTGGTACAAAGGTGACACAACGTTTGGGTTTATTTTTTTTTAAATTGGGTTATCAAATGTTTCAGCCACAGATTTTTATTAATGAGAAGTACAGAGCCAAGGCTTGGAAAAGTTTCTGTGTAAGCATCCTGTAAAGGAAAAACAAGTAGCTGTATCTTATCTATTTAAGGAACTCCGTTATTGAAAGCACAGAAATATTATGGAAATTGTGTAAGAACACACAGTATCCCAAATAACAACTTTCTGGAAAACTGCTCTCACGTATACGCACCCACGCCGCATCCCCAGCAGATCACGCGAGAGATGTACGCCAGTAAGACAGTATCCGTAACTGTGAGTTGAAACACGTTACAGGTAGGTTTTGAGCACGTACAAGAAATTTTACACAGATTTTAAAGCTCAGAAATTCTCATAACTTACTGACAAAGTTTTAAACACACTCAAGTCATTCTGGTACTTCTGCAGATAATGATGCTCAGAGCCTCTCCTCTGCCAAGCAAGTACCACGTCTGCTTTCACAACATATGTAGTTCTTGGTGAAAACACTGCAGCAAATCATTTAAGCCTGTTGCCAAAGACTAACCCAAATGTTTTGCTGCACTCCTAGTAGGTTAACAGCTTCACCTACTCAAATGACTGATGCTAGCCTATGCTCGATCCCACCTGATGTGCCTGCAGTGTTTAGAAACGGGAAGATCAGACTGTGCACAGCTGCAGCTTGTTTGCAACAGGCCAGGTATTTTCATTCTGAAATACTTAAGGCCAAACTTGGCTTTTACTTTCTTTGCAGCACCTCCAAAAGCAGATTTATATAACCAACAGACAGTCAGTAATCTTCATGTTCCCTCATTCTGCCCAAAATGACTTATGCTTAAAGAAAAAAGGTATTAAGGAACTCAAGGCACACATGCTCTTTTCCAAAAAAATGCAGATCCTCAAAACCAACATGAGCCAACCTCATAGTAAAGACCCCTTAACCCTTCCAAGAACAAGGCATATTAGAAATTGGTGAAGGAAGCAGTTACGATTTTTCTTGCTAAAGTTGGCCAAAAATATTGTAGACAGGAAGGTGTGGCCTTGTGAACAACCTCAGTGATTTCTAGCGAAAGCAGTTTAATTTTACCCAAGATAAATCTTTCTCCATATAAATCCTTCCCCCTGCAGAAGTTCCAACATACCTTCTGTTCTGCGTTAACTCATTAATATACTGATTTCCAACCTAGGCTAATAAAACACCTCTGAACAGGACTGACAACTGCACGGACATAAAAGATCTCACCAAATGCAGCAGAATTTCACATCAGATGTCTGTGCTAACAGGGATAAAGTTGTCAAAACCGGAATATTCTTTTCAGACGTGCCTGAAACACTTCAAGATACTGGAGTTCCCACCAGTTTCAAAGGGCTAACACAGGTGACTTCACATGAAATGTCTTTCTTCAAGTCATCACAATTAAGGCCACTTCCTCTGGAGACACTGTGTGTATATGTATGTGTGTGTACATACATTACATATATATATCTCTCCCAGTTACGTAAGCAGATGTACTATATATGATGAAGGCTGCTTATAAAGCAACTTTGACGTGTACAGCAGGCAAATAAAGAGATTCTGCCGTGCTGCATTACTCTACCAGTATTTCTAACGACATTTGTTAACGTGAGGTTAGACTCTGAGCACTGCCGGCCTGCACAACAGAGATGGAGGGAGCAGTACAGCTGCTCCTGGTAACACAGCCTAGGTTTCGGGTAAGAAGTTTTTCCACCTGAAATCTTGACACACTCCCTTAAAATCCAAATTTCAAAACAGAAGTCATTAGGGTTTGAATAAATTAATATAAAATGGGAATATTTAGGTCATTAAACGATCTAAATTGTCCACAAAGTAACAACATCCAGGAACTTCACTAAATCACAATACAACAAAAAAGTAGGAGAAATGAGTACTTTTCTGGAAGAACAGATAATTTTCTTGATCGTAAGTACTCTTACAGATCTATAGTTAATACAAACCTAACGCTGTCATGCTACAATAAGTCTGTCACAGATGCCACCTGCTAATCTTCAGCACAACAGTAAGATGTAGGCAATAAAATGAGCTTTTCTCAGCAAAACACAAAACAGAACAGAGAAATGCAGTAATTTGATAGCATAGGCCTGTGTTCAACTTGTATTTATGTTAAGAAGTAATCTGGGGGGTTGCACATGCTTTTGACTCAGTCTTTTTTCTGATGATGATGTGTGTACAGAGGCAAATGAGTTAGTCTTTTGTGAAGCTGAACAGTCACTACTCTTTACTTTGCAATATGCTGTTGACAAATTCATCTTAAAAACGTGTTTAAACTCCCTAAATCTTCTTCACCCTTTATTGGACTTTCTAGCATGTCCATACCTCTTGTGTACTCCAGAGCCCAGACCTGGACACAGGACTCCAGATGTGACCTCACCAGTGCTGAGCTGACGGGCAGGATCACCTCCCTGGACCTGCTAGCAACAATCCTAATGCAGCCCAGGAAACCACAAGGGCACGTGGCTGGTTCATGTTCAACTTGGTGCCCACCAGGACGCCCAGGACGTTCTCTGCCAAGTTGCTTTCCAGCCAGACAGCCCCCAGCATGTACCAGTGCCTGTGGCTGGTCCTCCCCAGGGACAGGGCTATGCACTTCCCTTGGAACTACCGTTTATTCCATACGTATAACCCAAGTTACAAACATCCTATCACTGAGACCTGCAATTATTAAAATTATTTCCAAATGAGAAAAGGGATTTTGAGCCCTCCCAGCCCCCCTGCAGTTCCAGAACACCGAATTCAGGGGGACTAAACCAACCCAGTAAGTAAATTACTCTAACAGCTAGACATTTGCTACAGGATAAATCAGAATAGGTGAGTCAGATGTGGAGGTTTGACAGGTAATTTTAAAAGGAGGATGAAAAAGGATTTCTTCAGCTGCAGGAACACTGAGAGCATCCATGCTTGCAGCTTCCCTTTCCTCACAGATAAATTATTATGAAGGATACAAAAATCAACCGCTTCATTGTTCTGGCAGACCAGCAAAGACAAGTTCCTGGGAAGGACTGGTGAACCGAACGATAAGAGTTGTGCAATGGACACCTGGTACTTCCCTCCTGGCACAAGCAGAACACTCATTCTCTTCATATGCATGATTAATAAGAGAATGCCAGCCTACTCTTTTCCATCATGAGTCACGAAACGAGATGCTAATTTCAGAGACCCTACCACAGCAAGGTTCAGTAAGGTATTTATAATGGAAAGAAGAAGGTGAAGAGCGCATTACGTTCGCTCAAGAGAGAGCATCCTGCAAAAACATCCCTCCTCTCCCAGCCCGCAAGCCCTCCACTTCATCTGGAGCTTTCAGTGTGCTAAGTGCCATTCTCATACCCGACAGTGGCCATTTGCTCTGAAGAGATAAGGGCAGTTTAAGGACAAATTAGAATGAGAAAATAAAATAAACGTAGGTGACGTTTACAGTCTTGCAAACTGAGAGGGAATGAAAGCAAAGCCAGGATTCTGGGCATGTATGTTAGGAAGGAAGCTACAGCCCTCGCAAGTGCCATCGATGCAAGGAGCCAGCAGACTGAAACTGTGCCAGTCAACGGCAGCCCTCCTACGTCGGTCTTCTCTTAACTCCTCATGCCCTACCTGAAGCCAGAACGTTGCCCAGAGTGATATTTTTTTACTTCCAACTTATTTATTAAAATTATACTCCTGTTTCTAAGCATCTTAAGTGAGATGCTGGTGTAATTAAAAATATACCTTTCTCTAAAATAAAAAGGGATAAATCTGTTTACTTTGCTAAGGTTACGCATATACAGTGAGAAAATAAAACAGTGCAAGTTTTCTTCATGTAACAGATTTCATCTGTATTCCAAGACACTTCTTTTAATCTCTTCCCACGCCAAATATTTTAAGTGTTGTACTTCATGAAACCCTAAAAAAAGTTCTGTTGCATTTCACAGATGTACTAAATATTTTGTATTTTTATTTCAGCTTCAGAAAAATCAGTAGAGAAAACACAAGTCAACATCACTTAAAAAATCATAATATACTGATCTATTTATTCTCAAAATTTTTGCACTTTCATATAATGAGGACAGACAAAAAAAAGGAAGAATGACAATTGTGGTTTGGATTTATTTTTATGACTAGAAATCCTAAATCCTAGCAACTCCTTCAACTGCCTTTTAATGCAAAGGTAAAGACTCCCTCACAGCTTCTGATGGGGTCCTGGTCAAAACAAGGCTTACCCAACGTAAGAACTGTACCTCCATTTCTTCCCTGCTGCAGCCCAAAAGGTAACCAGGAAATTATCCATGATAAAGACCACTGAATGTTGCTGTTACCAATGTAAAGGGCTTCAGTAAGGATCTCAGGCATCACTGCCACTCACAGAAAACGGAATTTAAAAAAAAAAAATTGAAAGGATGGATCTTTCTTATGTTTGAACATGAAACCTGAATTTTTAGGTGTATGTGTCCACCACACAAGGTTTTTTCCTAAAAAAAAAAAAAAGTCAAGGAAATCTCTTCTTTCATGGAAGTAATCCTTCACAGTTTTTCCATATTAAACCCAGCTACACGTTTACCATTTTTTACACAGCAGATACTATCACCAAAAAATTACATAATATTTGAAAGTTTCCACTACCTGTAAATATACACATGTGAAAGAAATATTCAATTTCATATGCCAATTACAACCATATTTCTAAGGATTTCCAGGATACAAATCATTTTCTATTTAGGAATAATTTGAAAGCATTATCGAGCTTTTCACACCACTAGAGGGACCCGTAAGCATTCTAATTCCACATCTATTCCCGTCATACCATTAAGAAATGCAGTCTTAGATCGATGCACATTTAAAAAAACCTGTCCTGTTATTTAGCTCTTTACATTTTTTTCACTCATGATTTG